CACGTGTGTGAGCAAATGCCTTGGCCAAGGTGCAAGGAGTGCACAAGGCAGACGGGCTGAGAAGAAAACATCCTGTCAAAGCTGCTCAAAGGGAAGGCAAAGCACCCCCCAAAACTTTCACAGCCAAACACAATCCACTCTGTCTGCATGTTAACTTCAGCTCTCCTTGCAGCAATGCCCCTGGGGCAAGAGCCCAGAAGAAAAATACATATTACTGTCACAACAAAACTGGGCTCTGTCACCCAAAATAGAGTGACATGAGCACATGGGTGCTGAAGGATGCCAAGCAATGTGGGGGATGCAGAGGGGATGCTGCAGGATGCAAAACCATGCAGAGGGATGAATTGCACTGGGACGATACACAGGGAGCTCCTGATGCTCTGGGGAACCAGTGAACACAGCAAAGGAAGGGTCTAACCCAGAAATCCAGAACAGGAGGCTGTGCCCACTCCCCTGATGCCCCATAGGCCATCCCAACCCCAGGCAGGGCAGGGTGCCAGCCACCACCTTGGCTGTGAGATGGCAGCTCACAGGGGACCACATTGGGAGGTACTTAAGAGCCACATAGCATCCTCAGAGGCTGTGGGAGGTGTGGTGCAGTTTGGGGCACAAAAGGTCAAGCTGCTGGGGCACAAGGCTGAGGAGACACTGCTCTGGTCCATTGTACTCTGAGAATTCTAAAGCTGAAACCACACTGCCTGATCTCTGCTCAGCGAGGAGGGACAAACCGCCCCCAAGTGTTTCTCACTTCCCTCTTGAGGGCTCACCAGGGTGGAAACTGCAAGTCTCTGGCTGCTATTTACAGAGGTGAGTTTCCCCTGCAAAACCCCAAGAGCTGGAGGGCTGGGGCCATTGTTCCAGGGCTATTGCTCCACGGCCATGCTCTGCCACACTCAACCAGCAACTCAGGCAATGCCAAAATGATTTCCTGCAGGCTCTGCTGCCTGCCCAGGCACAGCATGAGTGGGATGACTGTGAATGGATGGCCACCAGCTACCTGCAAAGGTGCATCTCCCCCCATCCCAAGCCCTCACGCCATCCAAGCCCCCCTCCCAGCTATGTCTCTGCCTTCCCATTCCCTCCCAGGACACTCCACATGTCTCTAAGTGGGATCCTCAAGCCCAGCAATGATCCCATCCCTTTCACCAGATGTATAGCCATGGCACGTGGCACAGTGCTGGAATTGCAGTCTCCCTGTGGCCATGGTGTCTCCTCTCCTGCTCCTGGCTCCAAGCCCTGTGGTCCACTGGATGTTGCCAGTGCTACTTCCCTGCATCCAACAGGATCCAGGATGTGATGGGCCATATCCACTCATGAAGTGCTGGGTTCCTTTGCTTTTGGCTTTGCTCCTTGTGATCTGGTACGGTCTCTGATATCCCTGCAATGGACACAGTGGCAAAACATCCTTTGGCATCTCTGTTGCAGCTCACCACGGTGAGAACAAAGTGGAAGTTTTTGAAAGAGAGAAACCCTTGATGCTGCTCCACTGACATTTATAGTAACAGGTATTGCTGCTTCCTTCCTCCTTCAGCTGTTTCTGCAGAAAGGTCCTGCCAGGCCAAGCTGAGTCACTGTCTTGTCATGCTCCCAGTGCCCCTTTCTGGTACCACAGCCATGGACAGGGCACAGCCCTGCCCAGCACCTCGGTGGGAAACAGGGAGAAACCTCTGGAGGCTGCCAGCAGTGCAGAGGTAGCTCTTTTCCCTCTGTGAAACCAAGATGTGTTATTAATGTGTTATTAAAGCTTCATGCCTCAAGCCCAGCCAGGACCTCAGTTGCCCATGCAGGACATCACACAGTCCTCCTGCCTCTAAGATGCACCAGAGAAAATCAGTATTTAATGCTGACCCACAAGATGCTCTACATGTTGTGAGCTGGAGATAAGCCAGTGGTGTGGACTGACCATCCTGTGCTTGTCCTGGCTGCTGTCTCCTCCACAGAGCAAAGCATCCTCCTATGCAGAAGAAAACATCCCACTGGCACAGGATGCCCAGGGATGTAGTAGAATCACCATCCCTGGAAATGTTCAAAAGATGTGTTGATGTGGCACTTGGGGACAGGGTTTAGTGATGGGCTTGGCAGTGCTGAGTTGGACTCGATGGTCTTAGGAGGTCTTTTCCAGCCTTAATGATCTCCACAGAGCAAAGCATCCTCCTATGCAGAAGAAAACATCCCACTGGCACAGGATGCCCAGGGATGTAGTAGAATCACCATCCCTGGAAATGTTCAAAAGATGTGTTGATGTGGCACTTGGGGACAGGGTTTAGTGATGGGCTTGGCAGTGCTGAGTTGGACTCGATGGTCTTAGGAGGTCTTTTCCAGCCTTAATGATTCTGTGATTCTACTGCAGAGCCCAGCCCCCTGCAGAGCCCCCACCCCTCCAAGCCCCTCTGCAACGTGGCCCAGGACACCTGTGCCTGCTCCCAGTGACACACCATCCCACAGGGTCCCTCCCACCCTGGCCCCTGCTGGGGGCAGCCCAGGGACTCTGTTGAGCCAATGCAATGTGCTGCGTGTGTGGTCGATTTGCATTGAAGGGATAAGGGGAAACCCCAGGAAATGCACAGCACAGGCATTAATCAAATTGTTCTCTAATAATAAACCTCCCAAGCAATGCAGGAGCTTGAGGCTGGAGCTCACAGTGCCATGGCAGGAGCCGAGGGGGACTAGATGCTGTGGAGAGTCAAACGTGAGTTACTTGATGGAGGGGTTGCATGGGGAGATGGAGTGAGGGGCTTGTGCCAGGGCTTGGGACTTGGTCACACTCCCAGGGAGTGGATCTCCTCAGGCTCTTGCTGGAGGAGCAGAGCCACCACAAAGGGCTTCTACCCTGCTGAAGATGGTCACTGCCATGAGGCTGGAGTGGGAATTGTAGAATCTCAGAATGGGCTGGGTTGGAAGGGACCTTAAAGATCATTCAGTGCCACCTCTCTGCCATGGGCAGGGACACCTTCCACTAGACCAGGTTGCTGCAAGTCCTATCCAACCTGGCCTTGGACACTTCCAGGGATGGAGAAGCCACAGCTTCTCTGGGAAACCTGTGCCAGAGCCTCAGCACCCTCTCACAGTGAAAAATTTCTTCCTAATAACTTACCTAAATCTACAGTCCTTCAGTTCTCCTTTGTCCTATAGTTGCTTAATGCTTGCGATGAGGGGTCCAAGGGGGAATTCAGGGTGCTGGTCCCTGGTAGGTGCAGAGGCAGAAGGGGAGTCTGCTGGAAAACCCATGGCTGCAAAGCATGGCCACACTGTGCCAGGAGCACCACGTGCATCTTGGGGCTCCTTGGGGAGGGGAGTTAAGCTCTCAGGCAGGATTTGTCCTAGATAGGGCTAAATACCTTCTTGGACCTGCCCTTGCAGCAGCTGAGAAAGAGGTGCCCAGCCTGCAGCTCCCAGGTTTCAAACACAGCCCCAAATCTGTTTCCCATGCAGTTATCCCATGGGAAACTCCACCATAGGTCAAGGATGACTGAGCTCACTGCCATCCCCAGGGCTCACTGCCACCCCCAAGGGCTTCCTGCCATCCCTGGGGGGCTTCTCATTCTTCTCTCTGAGTACAAAGTATCTTTGAAGAGCATCGGAGGAAAGCACTGGCCTGAGTCTTGCTCTGCCCTGGGGATGTCTCCAGTCAGCTCGACAGAAAGTAATTATTTAATTCTATAGTTATGTTAATTGAACAACTGGGAGTATAAGGCCAGCAGCATCCCTATGCAGGGAGGATTGATCCCTGGGAATGGGAGGGGTTTGTGTGTGCTACCCCAGGTAGGAGCCAGTCAGCATCAGAGGATGCCCTTCCTCAGCCCCTCTAAGGGAAGGTGCTGGGTGGGCAATGGCAGGAGGGATGATGTGCAAAGTGCCTGACTGCTGCACAATCCCAAGTCCTTGAGAGAGAAAGATCCCAGCAGAGTGCAGAGGATTTCCTGGATCAAACCAGGGTTTACCTTTGCAAAGGCATTGGCACAGCCTTTGGGCACGTGGAGACCAACACTGTGCTGAGGCTTCAGGGAGTTTTAAACCTTTTGGGCCCTGTCAGCGCCAGCATCACCCACTCAGGCAGGAAACAGCTGCAGCTCCCGGCACAGCTCTGTAGAGGGATGTGGTGTCCCACATGCCCTCTCGGCCAGCAAACAGCACATTTCCACCACAGCCCTCGTGCTGGGTTAGAGCTTCCTGCAGCTGCTCCATCGCACTGGCCGCAGCCCCCACGTGTGGCATCACACAGAGGCACTCACTAGCCATCTCATTCTTCAAAGTGTACATGTTTGAGCAGACCTTTGTGCTGCTGATGCCTTCATCCTGTACCTTTGGCATCACACTCAGCACAGATGGGCACTGGGAGCACTGCAGCAGCAGAGGGTGGGACAAACAGCCCATTGTGGAGACTAGAGCATGTCCACCTCCAGACATCCCAGCAGGCACTGGTTACACTGGTGCCTAAAGCTCTCCTGGGAGGATGGACCTCCCTCCTGCTGCTTCAGGGAGTCTTACACATCAAATGGGGTTTCACTATGATGCCAGGACACCCAAGTGAGATGTCAGAAATGCCACACAGAATGGCAGGAACCACCCTGGAGCCGCAGAGGGATTCAGAAGTTTCCAGAATCAAAATTTGTTTAAGGAGATGTCACCAGTTGTCATTCAGGTTGTGTTTCTGGTCTTTTAAGCAAAGCCTGTAAAGATAGGAGCAGTCCCCACTGCTCATGCTCCCACAGGCAGGTGCAGAGATCCCCAGACCCTTGGGATACAGCACAGGGCCAGCTCTAAGACAGGGTGGTCTCCCTGTGTGTCCCCTGGGACTGACAAAGGACATACTCATGTAAGGCTATAATTTGAAGAACAGATTTCCCTGTATGCTCTTGCCCAAGCCTAGGACCAGAGAGGGCTGGGACACAGCCAGGGCTCCCCTGCCAGGGGTCCCAGCCCTAGAAAGGCACAAGGTGCCTGCAGAGCAGCCCCGTGGTGGGCACACTGTACCTACCTGTGCCTCCCGTTCTGCAGCCATGGATGGGACGCGCGTCGGGCGGGATGCCATGAACAACTGCACCGACCAGGAGTACTGGGACGCCCTCGTCTTCCAGTGCATCCCCTGCAGCCTCGTGTGTGGCTGGCCCACGGCGAGGAGGTGTGATGCTGTGTGTGGTGAGTGCTGGGCAGGCAAAGGCACCATGTGTCTGTCCTTGGACCGAGCAGGCAGGGATGGGGCAAAGCTGGGAGTGGAGACCAAACCCCAGGATGAACCCCAGGGCAGGCTCTGAACCAGCTCTGCTTAGCAGAGCTCCAAGTCAAAAATGCATGGGGATGAGACAGCCTCCCAGGGATGGGATGGGACTGGCAATGACTCAGTTGCCCCCACCTCTGCACTGCTCCTTTCTGGGCTCACAGAGCTGCACCAACACTCATTTCCCCCATTGGTGCCACCCCAGCCTCCAAAGGCAGGGCCTGGAGAGCAATCGGGTTCAGTCAATGTGGATAATGATAAACCCAAGCTGTAAGTGTGAGGCTGAACCACAGGGCCCTGTGCTGGGGCAGGCACAGAGGTATTGTGATAACAGGTGGGGAGGAGGACAAGGGACAGATGCACTTTGCACTCAAAGTCAGTGCATGGCCCCTTCCCTCTCCAGTGAGCTGTCTGGGATAGCTCCACCCTGTCCTAGGGCTCAGGGGCCACAGCCCTGTGCAATACAGCCACAAGTCCCGTCTCTGTTGAGGACAGGAGATACCACCCCTGCTGTCCCAAGCCAGTACTCAGACAGATTTTGGTGTGTCCCCAAAAGCCATGCAAGCCCCAAGGCAGCAGCAGCTCTAAGAGCAGCAGCCAGGAGCTCCCAGCTGCAGGTGAGTACCACTGCTGATGCCTAGCCATGATCGTCCCCTCCCTGTGCAGCTGCCAGCAGATCCCCAGCATTAACCATCCAGCCAAATACTACCCCAAATCCCGTGGACCTGTCACCCTGCCAGCACAGGAGAGGTTGTCAAGGCTCATGGCAGTGGGCAGGTCTCATCCTGTGCCCATCAGAGCTGTGAACTTGGGCTCATCCTCTCAGGAACTCAGGGGCCAGGCGTGGTGGGAGGGTGATTTGGGAGCCTTGTGCTGAAACAAGAGAGGAGGATATGCTGAGGACACTGTGCTCATTTCCCTCCCGCAGAGTCCATGGACTGCAACAAGAGAGCTGGATTCTACTACGATGAGCTGGTGAAAAGCTGCATCAACTGCAGCACGATCTGTGGGCAGCACCCAAAGCAATGTGCCTCAGCCTGTGAACGTGAGCTGTGTATGGGCTGGGAGTGTGGGGGTGGGGGCAGGACCCCAAGGCTGGGCTGGAAGAGGAGCTGGAAGGGCTATGGGACTGAAATTAGGGAAGGGGCAGCAAACCCCTTGCTCTTCATCTAGCGGGGCTGCATGTTTGGCTGCTGCCAATTCACTGCGGCTGGGGAAAAGCAGCCAGGAAATTTGTCTCTCTCCTATTTTCTTCATCCTAAAGTGCCTTTTTCCCTATTCTGTGCTGGTATGTACAGACCTGAGAGCTGGGGCAGGATTGGCAGCTGTGGATCCCACCTGGCTGAGCTGCCCCCAGACCTTGGGGAGGGAGAGCAGGAGGGGACAGATAGATCCCCAAGAACTACAAGTCCCACACTGGGGTTGGGATGTGATCCCTGGAGAAGGGGGAGAGTGTGAATGGGGTGTGGGAAGGGATCTCCTCTATTGCACCATGGAAGAGAAATGCCAGCCTGCAGAGGGGACACAGAGCTGCTCTAGAATTCTCTCCCAGTGGAGAGAACAAGTGCTATTAGCAATTTCCCTGTCAAAAAGTCAGTGAGATGAAGCACGTACCTGAGGGGTGTTTAAGCTCACTCATCTCTGTCTGACACAGCCACTCCCCCGGCGCCGGTGGCCGTGCTGGAGCAGAAGGCATGTGCGGAGCAGGAGCCGTGGCTGGTGATGTACCTGCTGCTGGGGCTCTGCCTCTGCATCCTCATCTTCTCCCTGCTCCTGGGCTGGACCCACCTGCGGAGGAAGGGAGAGGTTGTCTCCTGCCAAGCCAGCACTGGGACCTGCCACCGCAGGGAGGACTCTGCCAAAGGTGAGTGCTGGCTGCACTGGGGGAACTGGGACAGGGTGGGGAGCTTGTGCTGGGCAGGCTCTCAGGTACTGCTGCAGGGGCAAAAAGCAGAGCCAGTTCCTAACGGGGTGGGAGGAAAAGTAAACCCAGGGATGGGCAATGCAGCTCAGTCTGAGCCTGGAAGAGAAGCAGGACTGGACTCCTGTGCCCCAATTCTCTACCACAACCCTCTTCTCAGTCATTCCCTGCAAGTGCCAGGCACAGCTTCCCAGTGCCACAGGGTCTGGAGCTGTACCACCAATCAGCACCTCTCTGGTCTCCATCCAGAGGCAGCCAAGCCAGGGGGAGGAGAGGTTGGAAAAAGCCAACCCTCTCCTGAAATGAACCACAGTCCCAGGAAGGGTTTCAGCTCTGGAGCCACAGGGGCTTCACAAGTCCTCAGGTCGAGGAGAAAAGAGGGAAAGGGTAACATGGAGTAAGCCAACATAGAAAATATGCTCTGACTCTCCCTCATTCTCTTTTCCCTGCCTTTCCAAACAAAATTGTCTACTTGCCTGTTTCTGCACACACATTGCACACGTTTACATTCTTACACCTCGAAGCCATCATGCTGGTGTCAAAAGGCACAGAGGAAGAGCCCACGAGTCACTTGGAGTCACTCCCCAGAACTGTCACTCAAGCCATTCCTGTCTGTTTTGCCAAAGAACACAAAGGTGGTATCAAATGGTCACTTTTCAGGGAAGCCTTCAGATTTGGAGAGATTTACTGGGTGGTTTTTAATACTCCAGCCTAACTGCTCATCAGGGCTCAGCTGATGGAGCAGAGCCCTTTGACAGTGAGTGCCAAGTCCATGGAGCACTGTGGGCCCCTTGGAGTGGCCGTGGGAGCCATCTGGCACCGTGTTGTGCCTGGGCATTTGCATATGCTACAAAAGCAGCATTAATGAAAAAAACACTTTACATACAATGTTATAAATATTACAGCTGCTTTAGTGCTAAACCTCCATCCCTCCTGTTCCAGGAGCTTCCCTCCTTCCTCCTCAGATCTCACCTCTGTGGGCAGCAGGACCAGGTATGAGCATGCAGGTGATGCAGTACAGCCAGCACACAGTGCCAGGGCCTTTATCCAAGTGCTGGGAGGTGGATGTCCTTCCCATTTCTAAGACCAGCTCTTTACAGGCTCTAGTGCAGCACTTCAGAGCATTCCTTAGGTCAAAGCTGTCCCTAAATCCCCTCAGCTAACACACAGTTCATTTGCAGACCGGCTGGTGGAGGCAGGCAGCGTTGGTGATGGATCCACAGGCAGCAGAGTCCCAGAGCCAGTGGAAACCTGTGGCTTCTGCTTCCCTGGACATGGCTCTGGTGTACAAGAGACCAAATCATGTCACAGCACCTCGTGCCACATTGGGGAGAGGGCTGCTCCCTCCTACACTGGGATCTGCAGCACGGGAAGTGCTGGGGCCATTCCCGGCCCTGACGATGGCCACTTCAAGATCATTTGTTCTCCTTCCCAAGAGAAGACACCCATGGTGTGACCACAGTGGATGTTCCTGCACAGATTCAGAATGGAGAGATGCTCCCTCTGCCCCCAAAACACAGTGGCTTTACCCTCCGTTCTCAGTGACTGGCACAGCTTCTGCCCAGCCTGGTGGACACAGCCAAGGGCTGTAAGGCTACAGAAAGGGCTGGAGGCTGCACAGAGCTCTTTGCTTCCACTCAGGAAATTAAATTCTCATTCTTGTACACTCCCAGTGACAGAAGTCACTTCCCATTTAGCAGCATCCAACTTCATCTTCCAACTTGGCCTCCATAGACTCCACCATGCATCCCAGCCATCGGGAGTGATGTCTCATTGGGGCTTTTCATCCTGGTTCCATCACCATCAGTGTCACTTTGTCTTTGCAAAGGATCTGACTGCGGTGCCCACCAGTCCCCATGGAGAACTCACCTTCCCCTGCTTGGAAACTCCACCGTGTGCCAGAGTGATTTACAGCAGAGCTGTAAATATCTCAGACATAGACTTGGATCCAAGGAGTTACTGATGGAAGCTATAAAGACCCATTGTGGAAAGCTCCACTGCCAGCTTCCAGCACAGCTTGGGAGAGGAGCACAGGCCATGAGTGATGACAAGGCTTTGCCTGTGACAGGACACAATGGTGCACATGAGGAGTTGGGAGAGGCACCAAAACCCCTGATGGAATTGGGTTTAAGTGTGAAAACTCATCCAAGGCTGAGAACTTTCTAAAACACTGGATTTATGGACATTTGGGCTGGGTTACTCCAAAGAGCTGATAAAAGTGTGGAATCAGCTGGAGATAAAGCTGCTTTGAGGAAATATTTTTATCTGACCTGGCTTTGAAAGCTACCATGGAAGAATATGGGTTTCAACATATAACTTGAAGTTCTCATTTCCACTAAAGGAGAGTGCAGGAATTTTTTCCTTGGTGAGGAATCACTCCTGGTGGGAGTTCATCCCCTCCACTTTCTCAAAGTAGAACTTCAATCTTAGAAGAACATAAGAGTCAATACATGCACAAATTGGTGCCAGGAAAGCACAGCTGGAGAAAGTACATGCAGAGAGCTCTAACAGACTGTTCCTTCCATATTAGAGATTTCTTTAAATGTAAATGCTTTCTTATCATTAAAAAAGACATCACCTGGGAGGGTGAACCTCTTACTCTGGTCACCTCCCGCAGTGTCTCAGCACCCACAAGTCCATAGGCCTCCCAATCTCCTCTGCCTCCCAATCTACCTTAAAGATCATCCTCAACCGGCATACCCTCTTGGCCTCCCCTCTCACACAGCCACCTTCCCCTCCACTAGGGCTTACCAACTCCACAGCATCATCTTCCATAGCCTTAGCTCCCTCCTGTGCAATCTGTTCCAATAGCCTTTGGTCTCACGCTGTCAGTTCCTGTGGTCTCCAGACCTGTGTTTTTCTGTCCCACGGCCACAGCTCCCACAGTCACCAACAAATTGGCCCCAAGACCAATAGCACTGCCTCTCTTTCTCTTCTAGGTTTCCCCTCCCCATGTCCTATCCCTCTCAGACTCTGCAGGGTCAACCACAGAATGGGTTGGGTTGGAAGGACCTTAAAGATCATCCAGTTCTACCCCCTGCCATGGACAGGGACACCTTCCACTAGCCCAGGGTGTGCCAAGGCCCATCCAACCTGGCCTTGAACAGCCACAGCTTGGGGCAGCCACAGCTTCTCTGGACAACCTGTGGCAGTGCCTCACCACTCTCACAGCCAAGAATTTCTTCCCAATATCCCATCTAACCCTGCCCTCTGCCAGCGTGAAACCATTCCTCCTTATCCCAAGTCCCTCTCCAGCTCTCTTGGAGGCCCTTTAGGCACTGGAAACAGCTCTAAGGTCTCCCTGGAGCCTTCTCTTCTCCAGGCTGTACACCCCCAGCCCTCCCAGCCTGTGTCCACAGCAGAGGTGCTTAGCCCTCAGAGCAGCTCTGTGCCCTCCTCTGGACATGATCTACAGTTCCACATCCTCCTTATGTCTGGGCTCCAGAGCTAGAACTGGTGCTCAAGGGGAAGGGGTTTTGCACTTACCTTGGGGAAGCACCAGCACATCCTCCCTTGGAACAAGGGCTGGGAAAACCCCTGGCTCTGTGTCCCACTCTGACCAAGCACTTCCCAGCGAGGACAAAGGTTCTAGGAGAAGGAAAACCTTCATAAACAGACACGGTGTCTCATCACACTGCCCTTTCCCAGCACAGACCTCCTGCAGGCAGCACTGGGGACACATAGCTTCAGCCCATTGCTGGTGCCCTGTGGACCTTCAAATGTCACCTCCAGGGACAAGCATTCGTCACCTGTGGGAACCCTTGGCTTTGCCTCTTGTATAGGGATTCAGAACCTTATTCAAAAACAGGATAGAAATAACAGAACACATGCCACCAGATTTGCAATTAGGGCATCTCTCAAGGATCAAGAGGCATCAATTATTCAAACAAGAAAGCTTTTAGGGAAGTGTTTGTAGCAGTGAGCACAGGAGCTAACTCTGTGTGGCACCAGCAGCTCCTGCTCTAGCTGACCCAGGAGACTACTCACGTTCTCACACCCAGGCAAAGCTTGTGCTGGGACAGGGCTGTTCCTCCTGCCACCATGTGGCCTGGTGTCCCAGAAACTGGGGAAAGTACTCACCAAAAGCCAAGTCCTGACATGTGAGAGGGGAGCATTCCTCACCCTCCCCTCCTTGAGGGAATACAACTACAGTTACCAGCACAGAAAAGGTAACACAGAGCAACTTGAACAAGTCAGTAGTGAGAATAATATAAATCCATTGGTGCTGGAGAACCAAGAGGACTCAATGGATTTGGTATCCTGTTTGCAGCCATTGGCCAGCAGCTCCAATAGATCATACCTGGAGACATCAATTCCAATATCAGAGGAACATTGTACATATGGGACACAAGCAACTCCAGCCAGGACAAGCCAAACTACATAGAATCAAGGGCATTGATTCTGAGCAAGAGCATCTGCCTGGGGTTTAACCAATTCTCACATTTCTGCTTTTTCCAGTAGGCAGCAGCACCAGTCAAAGCTTTCTCTCTGGTTGAGTGGCTGAGGGATAAGAAAATACATCTAAAGCCACTTTCTGGCTCTTTTTGTGCCCCCTGTAGAGCTATGTTCAGTGCTGGCAGGTAACAGAACTCACACCAGCATGAGCCTGCAGCACTGCACCACTCTTTGTTTCCAGTCATCTCTGCAGATGCCTCCTCCCAACAGACCCAGCTGTGCCGAGACAAAATGTACCTCCAAATAAACAACTCAGCCCCCAAACTGATGAGGAGGGTGAGCAGCTGAAGCAGCAGAGTTGTCACTCGTGGAGGAGGCAGCCTGTCACTGCTGTCTGTCAGCACATCAGGGAGGTTTCGCTCCATCCACCCTTCAGGTGTCGTGGTCGGTGTGTTCCTACGGGCGATGTTAAGGGAGTTCCACAGAGGAAGCTCCTGGCTCTGCAGGGAGTAAGTCAGTGCAGGAACTGCATGGCTGCTTCTGGAGGAACAGAGGGGGAGAGAAGGCTGTGTTTGGGAGAAAGCAGCATGAGGGGCAGTGCTGCTTGTACAACAGCAGCTGCTCTTCCATTTTCATAGGCGGAGGGAAAATGCTGTCTCCTCCTCTACGAGGCTGCACTGATTTACTGCTGCTGGAAACAGAACCATGTCTGGTGTGACAGGGACACCGGGTGGGAAGAAAAGAATAGGAGCTTTTAATACACCACGAATTCTGCTTTTGAAACCATCTGCGCCAGTGCAGTGCACAGAGCAGAGCTCTCCCCACCAGATGGGTGGGGAAGGAAAATTAAGGGTGATTTATACACCAGCCTCATCCCTAAACAATTTGCTTCCAAAGGCTTAACAAAGCAGCCTGCAGCAGCTCCTCTGGCCAGACGGACACTGGGTGCAACCGACGCCGTGGGGAGACCTGTGCCCCAGGCCGCAGAGGGAGACTGCTGCTCCCCTCCCCTGCCAGCTCGCTGCTGTGTTCAAAGGTAGCAGCGAGCATCGCCAGGCGTCTGCACGAT